AAGCTTGTTCTAAGTAGGTGCTTTAGACCACTGAGCCATCTCTCCAGCCCCTGTCAGAAATTATTGACGTGAGTCCCCCACAGCTCAACATAACAACGTGGCTTTACTTCCTATATTTCATCTTCATACTTTTCTACTGGATGGTTAAGACCAAGGTAAAGCAGAACCTATGCAACAAGAGTTGTAGCTTTTTGTCAAGACATTTTCAGAGACTTAATTCTGACCAAATTCTTAACTACACCAAGACCAAATGGCTGCTACATTTGGGAGCCTGGGCCCATCAAATTGTCAGCCTGGAAGCAAAACAAGTTTCCAGTTGAACTCAAAAGCTGGTAAGAAATCTAATTTTAAATCTTACCTAGGTTGGAGAGGAGAGCTTAGTTGTTCTGCTTTGCTACCACAGGCATCCTACCTCACAGCTGCTCCAGGTGGCCAGCCGAAAGGAGCATCCAACAAGGCTTGGAGGTATAGGGCCCCCTCAAATGAGCCTCTCTGTTGGTGGGAGCAATCTCTCTAGGGCCTCCAGCTGTTTTGGTAGATGATAGCGAGGATAAGCACCCAGAAGAGAGACTGAAGATGTAGGAACAAAGAAGCTTTATTGTGAGCCAGCAACTGACATCCTGACCCTGGAGTCATGATTCATAAAATTTCAGTCCTGGCTTAAACTTTGCTTTCAGATTATGTACTTTTCAGGTGTCCCTAGCAACCTCATTGCCACATTCACAGGAATTTTACAAAACTGTGACAAGGTTTACATTTCTCCAATGCTGTTGACCATCTGCCTGTCATAGAACATTGTGGGTTAACATTTGCCCTACTTCTCAACCTGTTCCGACTGTTCCTTTTTCATATCCTTGTTTTTCTCAGTGGGTTTTAAGGTTAACTGCATGGGAGGGTGTGAAAGAGTGAGTTCATCTAGTTTGAGTGAACTTAAGTGACTTTTATTAAAATGGAGTCAAAGAAAGAAAAACGAGTCACTCTTGCCCCGTTACTGTAAGTTACCAAAGAACTGATTTAATTTTGTGGAAAATATATGCTTTTTAGTGGAGAACTGGGATATTTTTAAGAATAGATATCAAGTACTTACTCTCAGATTGTTACTAATATTAGAGCTCTTTTCTCACCTTGTGTTGTAACAGATAACTCTTGGTAAATGCCATTGTGACACAAATTCTCACTTTTCAATTTAGTTCACTTGGAGTAGAAATGTATTAAGGTCCTCTATCTTTTACATATCTGTCCCTGTATCCTAAAGTTCTCTCTTGCTCTGGGAGGAGCTTCTGTTACCTTCTTTTATAGAGCCTCTTGCTGATCTTACTAGATATGGGTGTGAATATATCTAAAAGGCTGTTATATGTATATTAGTGGTTTTTTGAGGGGTGGCAGGGCGGGAGGACTGTTGAATTAACCCAGGGCCTTACACTGAGCTACATCCCCAACTCTTCATTTCATTTCATTATTCAAGACAGGGTCTTAGTTTAGGATGGATTTCAGCTATTTAGCCTAGACCACCTCAAAACCACTGATCCTCCTGCTTCAGCCTCCTGAGTTCTGGGATTACACACATGCATCACCATGCCTGGCTTATTTTTGAGACTAGGTCTCACTAAATTGCTGAGTTGCCCAGGCTGGTATCAAACTTGTGATCCTTCTGTCTCAGTCTTCCACAGTGGTGGGATTACAAGCATGCACCATCAAACTTGGCTTATATTAGCTTCATTAACAAGATTGTTTTGGTTTTTTGAGGCAGGAATTGCTATACAGTTCAGGTGGGCCTTGGACTATGTAGCTCAGTCTGGTCTCAAAACTACTGTGATTCTCCTGCCTCAGCATCCCAACTGCTGGGATAACAGGGATGTGACACCACATCTCATGGAGAATGTAAGTTTTAACAGCATCCTTTTTATGGCTTTAGGAAGGAGACTCATTTGTGTCCTTTTTTGGGACAAAGATGGGAACAATGAAGAAGCTATAAGACAGGTTAATAGTCATGTAGAAAAGACTGAAAATTGTATTATAAGCCTCTGAGATCACCATATGCTATTTTATTTCTGGGACTGAAAGGCAGACTTACAGGAAGTTTTGGATATGAAAACTTTCTACTTGGAAAATAAGAGTTTGAACATGGCACTTTAGAACTCTTTAGAAATGATAAAGCTAAAATGTGAGGGCTTAATGTTTGTGTATCAGTTGGGGCGTTTAACCAACTCTGTTCACCTGGATATATGGAGTTTCTTGACATGGGACTTGAAGTGCTAATTTGGTAAAAGGTGAAAGATTTATATGATCTGAAGAGAAACCAGAGTATATTGCAGTGCTAATCTGGGAGGGTCCCAGGCTGAGTAGAATGGTGGCTCACTCTTTTGCCAGATTCTGTCCTGTGTACCTCATACATATTATTTAATCCTCCCAAAAATCTATTTTTGGTAAAATATTCAAAGTTATAGGCTAGGTGACAGCTCAGACTTGAACCCAGATCTGTCTGGAGAGCCAGAGTAACTAATTCAAGCTGTATTGATTCTCTAAAATGAAAGAGAAACCTTTGCTTTGGGAATAAATCCATTTGTAATTTGTGGTAAAATTTCTTTGTCTTGGTAGGTTCATCCTGATAAAAACCATCATCCCCGGTCTGAAGAGGCCTTCAAGGTTTTAAGGGCAGCTTGGGACATTGTCAGCAACCCTGAAAGGCGGAAAGAATATGAGATGTAAGTTAGATGAAAAACTATTGGGAGAGGTAAATGAATTCTTCAGTAGAAAGCCACTAAACTTGTGGATAGAAGCTCTGAGACAGAGAGGACTGATGTCTGTTTTTATAGCTAGCCAGGATCCTCAAGAGGTGACTAAAGCTATCTCTTTATCCCTCCCGCAATACCATTTGATTTACAAAGCCTGTCTTTTTCTAGGAAACGAATGGCAGAGAATGAGCTGAGCCGATCAGTGAATGAGTTTTTATCCAAGTTGCAAGATGACCTCAAGGAAGCAATGAATACTATGATGTGCAGTCGATGCCAAGGGAAGCATAGGTATAAAATAGGACAAGGTTGGGATGACCAGTTTAGAGGTTAGGTAACCTGAAACCTTCCTTGTTTTATTGGTAATTGTTAGGGCCGGGGAGATGGCTCAGTAGAATAAGCACTTGCCTGGCAAGTGCAAGGGCCTGAGTTCAATCCCTGGTTCCGCCAAAAAAAAAAAAAAAAAAAAAAATTCTATTGGTAATTGTTGGACACAATAAGAAAAAGACTCCAGGGTTTCTACTTTTGCCTGACTTTCAATAGATTGAGGATTCCAACTAGTGGTAAGAAAAAAGCTTTCAGATAGAAAGTTGAGGACAGGGTATATATATGTAACAACAGTGGAGGTCATTTTAAGTATTAAGGAACTACCCTTTGTTATATTGTAGGAGGTTTGAGATGGACCGTGAACCTAAGAGTGCCAGATACTGTGCTGAGTGTAATAGGCTGCATCCTGCTGAGGAAGGAGACTTTTGGGCAGAGTCAAGCATGTTGGGGCTCAAGATTACCTACTTTGCACTAATGGATGGAAAGGTCTATGACATCACAGGTATACTTTTGTTTTTGTTTGTTTGAGACAGGGACTCCCTGTGTAGTTCAGGCTAGCCATAAACTCTTGGTGATCCTCCTGACTCAGTATGTGCCACCATACCTGGCCCAAAGCTGTACTATTTTCACAAATTAACTTTTTTCTTTGTAGAGTGGGCTGGATGTCAACATGTGAGAATTTCCCCTGATACCCACAGAGTTCCGTATCACATCTCATTTGGCTCTCGGATCCCAGGCACCAGTGGTCGGCAGAGGTAGGTGGTGTTTCTCTCAGTTATCCATGCAGTATTCTAGTTTTGAAAGTGGTTTTAGATGACTGGCAATTAAGGACAAATATAGTATTTCCCTGAAAATAAGACCTAACCAAAGTTAAAATAAGACCATAAGTCCTTGTACAACTTTTTAAGGATGCTTATGATATAAACCCTATCCCCAAAGTAAGGTCCAATTAAGATTATTAGCTAGGGGCAGGGGATACAGCTAAGTGGCATAAGTGCCTGCCTGGCATGCATAAGGTCCCAAGTTTGATCCCTGGTACCAAAAAAACCCCCAAAGATTGTCAGCCAGATGGATGCATTTAATGTCTGCTGCAACACATGGTAGATGTATCGTATAATAAAATATTAATAATTTAATATAGTTTGACATTTAATGCTTCTACAAACAGTAAATTTAATTATCTGCAAAAAATTATATTTGCAGTTACCCAGTGGGCACCTTTGGATAAGGTAAATGCTTATGCAAACAGATGAATTTGAGACTTACTAATGAACAGAGTATGGACACAAAGCACAGTATACACTTTTTTTTTTTGCGGAACCAGGGACTGAACTCAGGCCCCTGCACTTGCCAGGCAAGTGCTTATTCCACTGAGCCATCTCCCTGGCCCCAGTGTACACACTTGATAGCAAATGAATGTGGTTGTGTCTAATACGAACCTTTATAATTCACTATGTTGAGGTTTTAAGAATGTACTACAAGCAAGCTACAAGGACAAGAAGTACTCATTAAAGAGGTATAGGGATAGCCAGATAGCTCAGTCGATTAAATCGCCTGCTTAGGCAGACACAGGGGTCAGGGGTTCGATCCTGGCCTGCTGTGCCTGCTATATTGGCCCTGCCCCTGGGGCATGCTGAGCTGGCTGAGACTGGGCATAGTGGTGCGTACCTGTAATCCCAGTGCTTGGGAGGCTGAAAAACAAAAAGGATCACTAGGAGTCCAATCTGTGTAGTTAGACTCTATAGACCCTGTACTAAATACATAAACATAAAAAAAATATAAGGTCTATTGCTAGATGTGAGAGATGAGTCCAATGGTTCTGCTGCAAATGGAATAGCAAGAAATTCAGGCTGGAATGAGGGGTTTAGGGTCATGATGTTCTAGATGACGTGACTGTATTTGAATAAATGTGAATGTCAATTTTTGTACCATCAATAAATATAGATTGTTATACATGAAAAAAGACATCTCTGAAAATAAGCCCCATTAGATCCTTTTGGAGCAAAACTTAATGTAAGACCTGTTATTGTTTTGGGAAAATACACTAAGTGTATCACTTTTAATAAGTTTGAAAATTCAGTGTGTTATCTTTAACAAAGGCAGCTATATGACTTTTTAATACCTCGCCTTATTTTTTTCTTAGAACTCCCTCAGATGCCCCTCCTGCTGATCTTCAGGATTTCCTGAGTCGAATCTTTCAAGTACCCCCAGGCCAGATGTCTAATGGGAACTTCTTTGCAGCTCCTCAGCCTGGCTCTGGGGCTACTGCAGCCTCCAAGCCCAGCAGCACAGTACCTAAGGGAGAAGCCAAACCCAAGCGGAGGAAGAAAGTGAGGCGGCCCTTCCAGCGTTGACTCCTCTTCCTACTTTCTTCAAATCAATGTCAGGGAGTCAAAAGGGCTGTGTATAGCACAGGATGGAGTTGTTTATTTTATTTATTTATGTGTGTGTGTGTGTGGGGCCAGCTCAGCCCACCAGGGGGCGGGGCTGGCTGGCATGTGGTGCTGGGGGATTGAACTGCAGTCCCTGTGCTTTGCCAAGCCTGTTCTAAGTGGGTGCTTTAGACCACTGAACCATCTCACCAGCCCCAAGAGTTGTTTATTTTTAAAGATTTTAAAAAGGGAAAATTTTAAGCCTAAATTGTTCACTAGTACTTGTAGGAAGCCCATGAACTACTGTCCCTCCAACTGAAGCACCCAGGAACTGAATCTTGTCTTTTGACAATACCAAAGAAATAGGGATGGCTAGAGTGAAGAACCTGGGCCCAGACCTGGGCTGAACAATATATCCTTCTGAGGGGTGGGAAGTATTTCTCTGGGGTTGGTATGCCTTTGTCTTGTCATTTGCCTTTAGAGCAGATGATTCCCCCACCCTTTTAAACTATGAGTCTCTTATTTCTTGGTCCGTTTTATGGAGGAGTCTCCATCATCCTGGTAACACTAGTTAAAAGACAGAACAAGGAAGCACGTAACCCTGCTCATGGAGGTGCACAGTTCAGAGTGGAAACTCTGAACTTTTCTTGACTTTCACCTTGTGAGTAAATCACCCAACTGCAGGTTTGTTGTTGCAAGAATGGCCAAAATTAATTTTTAAAAAGCAGACTCATGCCCTCTGCCCTTGGGTGAGGGAGAATGACAGGGGAGTTCTAACAAGCCTCCTTTTATCCAAGGGTTTGTATTTTTTTAAGTTTGTTCATATTTTTATGTACATAGCTATTTAAAGCCAGGGGATTATCTTTCTATAAATATGTAACTGGCAACCTGTATCTTCCCTCTCTTTATTGCCCATATAGCCGGGGCCCTTTTTATCACTTGATCATCTTTTTGTACTGTTAGCTGAAAGTGAAGGGCACTTACTACCAGGCTAAAGGATTAAAAAACTGCTTGAAGTTTTATAGAGAAAGCTAGTATTCATCTTCCCCAGCATTATGAGGACATCTCATTTCCCCCCAGAACTGGGGACTGGATCCAGAGCCTCTGAACTGACATTTCCAGCCATTTTTTATTTTGAGACAGGGTCTCACTGAGGATCCCTTGGATTTGCAGTTGTGCTGCTTCAACTGCCTAGAGTGCAAGATTCCAGGTCTGCACCACCTCATCTAGCTTCTCTGCCTTTCTTGCTGATCAAATTGCAGCCATAGCTGAAAAAATTCTTTATTATAAGGAAAATATACAGCAAAATGGGGTAGGAAAGCAGTAGGGGTGAAAAATATGGAAATATAATCATCAAACAAACTGCCCAAATATTATGTCTTCCTGTTCAGAGGAGAATGATGTGGCTCTTAACCTCATTTGCCTTTCCTGGCTCAGTCTTGCCTTTAGCAGGGCTGGATCCAATGGTTTCATTTTCCAATCTCTTCTTTTCCCGAGTTTGGGAAAGGTTGTACTTCTCAGGCTTTCAAGAAACAAAAGATGGTTTGGAGAGGGGAAAAGATGTTTTGGTCCTTTGTTCCACTGCCTTCTCCATGCCTGTGGGGTTGTCCTCAGCCCTGTCCCTCAGTATCTGTTGATGCCAAAGAGACGAACCCCATGGAATTGGGGCAACTTAGGCAGCAGTACACTAAACAGTGAGATAGTGTTGATGAGGAAGTGGGCAACATCATACTTGGTGTAGAAGCTGGCCAGAAGGTAGCTGGGAGAGAAAAAAAACAGGACGAGTGAGGTTGGCCTTCCCTACATACATTCAGGGCTTTCCAGTGATCATTTCTTCTATTTTTAAATGATCAGTTTTATTGCATTTAGTTCTTGGAATCTGAAAATATTCCAGCTATGTCAACAGCATTTACTTTGGGATTGAGATAATCAGGCAGCACTTTTAAGTGAAGATTATAAAGCAGTCTGTGTCAATTGTTGATGACAAATGACAGCTAAAGCTGTTTCAGCCTATGACTGTTAAAGAGTCCTCTTTGCTTCTACTCTCTCCAGTTAAGTTTTTGAAGATTAATATCATTTCTACCTTTATATACTCACTTCTTTTAGAAGGGTAAAGACACTTGGTTTTAGTAGTTTTATCTCTTCTCAGTTCCTTCTCCATTGTGCTAATACCAAGGAGGCACCAAGAAGTGCTTGATTACCATCTTCTACTTTTTATTGCTTTCTGTAGGCTCAGAACTAGTATACTACAATATCTTCAAAGCAACTTACATGGATAATCTTTTACTTTTCCATTTGTTTCTTGAAACAGGGTCTCACTGTGCAGTTCAGGCTGGCTTCAAACTCCATATGATCCTCCTGCTTCAGCCTCCCAAGTGTTGGGATTACAAACCTGTGCCACCATGCCTGGCTGCTTTTCAAAGCTTTCCTATGGACCTTCCTACCTCAGAGCCATTTCTAGTCTAGCATCTCCCCTACCCACCACAAACTCACAGTATAATAGGAGAGATGCTAAGGAACTTTCGGGAAGAGGTAAACTGGAGGCCGTAGTCCATCTGCTCCCAATGTGTCAACAAGCGAGCCTTTCCTTGATCAGGAGTTTCAAAGGGTGTCCCTTTCACTGTATGTAGGAAGACATACATTGCCTGAGAAGAGGGAAAGGGACAGTGTCAGGGGCAGAGAGTAGTTCTTCAGCCCAAAAATGATACTAAATCCCCAAAGAAAAATACCTAAACAATTGGTAATTTTGTATACAAACCTGTGTGGGTTTGCACTTACCAAGTTGTGGATGACATTAGTCAGGGTCCAAACAACAGGAATACTGAGAAAGGGGATGCTGAGTAGAACCACATGCAGCAGCCCTACTAAGATGATGTAGGCCAGCCAGATGCCCCGACTACTCATGACTCGGGTGTTGGGATTTACTTCACTGTGTGCCACCCCCACATTCATCCTATCACAATGAGGGAATCAGGCAGGAGTCCAAGTTAATTTCTTCTCAGCTCTTGTAGTGTTTACCCCAATTATCTCTGAGGAACCAAAATGCTCTGAACTCTAGCAGAAACGTCTTTATCATACAGAAAACAAAAACTAAAAGACTCTGGAAAAACTTAAGATGCTGAGCATGGTGATGCATGTCTGTAATCTCAGCACTCTGGAGGCTGAGGCAGGAGGATCATTCCAAACTCGATGACCCAGTCTGGGGTACGTATTTCAGGGCCAACCTGAACTACTACACACGAGACCCTGTCTCAAAAAAGGAAACAAGTTTAAAACGTGAAAGTCTTTCTTATTGGGCACGCGGGGGGGGGGCATTTTTGCTCTTTTTTGTTTTTTCGTACATCAGCAGTAACACAAAGGAGAAAGCGTAGGCTTGGGGGACCACTTCAAGTAGCAGGGTAAACAGTACCTCACTTAACTTTCCTGAAAGGAAAAAAAAAAAGTTTCCTGAAGAAGTCAGGAATAAATCACAAAAAGAACCCATCTGTCCAGAATTACGGAAGAGTCACGGTCAATCGAAACCGATGAGAATGGATGAGAGTAAAACTACCCTTAGTCCACACCCAGCTTCGCCTGCTTGGCAAGTCAGCAGCCAACAACCCCATTCTTTACGCGCGTGGCGCTGCAAGAATTGATTTCTGAACTGAACAAGAAAGCCACCCAAACTCAGCTTGATGAAATGGAGTCCTAACTGCTAGGGGCGGCTGTGGTCTGAACTTGTCTCTTTAAAATCGTGCCAGCTCTAAAGCAGATAACGCCCGCCCTAAAATTCCCTGGAAATGAATCACGCCCTATGCCCCTCCAGCTTCCTTCTTTAGCTTCACTTCCTTTTAAGCTCTCTTCAGCACTCTTCTTGATGTTTAACTCTCCGCCTCCCCGCCGCACTTTCCGCCTCCCACCATCTAGCCCCAGCAGCCTTTTCCAATTTATCGGTGACCCCTACCTGCCCGCCTCACGAGCCGGTGCAGCTAGGGACTGGGCGCTTCCGCCTACACCTATGGCCTTCAGGAAGTATTAGCCCCCTGGCCTGCGTGCTCTTTCTATTGGAAGAGCGGGTTTATCACTCTTGTTCCTTATTGGCTGGCTTTCGGCATTGGGAAGGTGCTATTGGTCACCCTTTCTGTCTTTGGAACACATAGAGCCCGCCCTTCCCTTGGTCCCACCTCTTGAGAGCGTGGAACTGACACAGGCTAATGACGAATGGGAAGAGGCGATGATATTGCGATGGGCGTAAGAGCGGCAACGATTGGTCAGAATTGGGTCAATGCCGAGGCGGGAGCGCTTGGGGGCGGCGGAAACGGGTGGGGGCCTGCGTAGTGGCGGGATAACAAGATGGCGACGGAGACAGTGGAGCTTCATAAACTGAAGGTACTCTGAGGCGGGGGAAGGACTGAGGTGGGCTCCTTTGGGGACTGAATTGTATAGGGTGGCTTGCCCCTTCTTATCCTACGTGTTCCTTTTGCAGCCTTTCCCACTTAGTTTTGCGGCTTCCGCCGTAGCTCTTTTGTGCTTGCTTTCCTTAATTTTCCATTTCGCCTCCCGGCTTTTTTTTTTTTTTTTTTTTTTTTTTTTCTTCTTCCTCTCTATACCCTTTACTTCGGCTCGTCTCCCCTTATATTGGCCATCACCCTTCTCCAACGGACTACCCAAGCGCCTTCTACCTGTTATCCTCCTCGTTTCTCGTGAAAGCTGCGTTACGTCAGTGGTCCCTCCTCCTTGCCCGTACCGCACTCAGGAGCTTTCTTCCCAAGCTTGGTGCTTTCCTGTATGCTGTGCAAAGCTGAGATGCTCTTGTTAGCAGAGGATAGCATTTTTACTTGTTTATATCAGAATACGTCCCAAAGGTGATCCAGAAAATGTTTTTATTCTCTTATTCAAGGTGAGGTTGCGTCTCCTGGGCAGATTTCGAAACGAGAGAGAGGCCTCAAAAGAGAGGCCTTTTCGTAGAAGTCGGCGGTTGAGGCAACTTTTAAGAATTTGTAAAAATAAAAACACTTGCACTTTAAAAGTTTTTGAGTACTCTCATGAGGTTATCGGCCTTCTCCTTAGGACGCCCTCCACCACCAGAGAAAGAGAAATCATAGCTGTAGTATTTCGGAAAAACAATTCCAAGATTAGGGTTATCTGTCCTGTTATAGCGGATAGACCCTTCCTGTCTCTCTTGGTCTCACCGCTGGGTGACACTCTGAATCATAGGAGTTACCTGTTGTAACTTTTGTGCCTTTTGAAAATCTGGGTAGTTTTCTTATGCTTGGATTATTGTTCGGCTGGAAGGAGAGTAGTTTCTTTTAGGAAAAATAAGAGACTATCTTGATTAGTTGTCTTTTTGTGGTTTCACAAATAGTTTTTCATTTTTATATTTTAGTTACATTATCCTAGGAACCTTGCTGATTTATATGGACAAACCAGGATGATTTAGACGAACTTGAAAAGTTATCTTTTAAACTTTAATGCCTCTTGAGCTTTAATAAAAAGACAAGTGGAATAATTGTAGGGAGAGGTCTTTTTTTTTTTTTTTTTTTGAGACAGGGTCTCAGTGCAGTTCGAGTTGGGCTTGAACTCACTGTGTTACCCAGACTGACCTCGAACTCTATCTAGTCCTCTTGCCTCAGCCCACCAAGTACTGGGATTTCAGGTGTGTTCCCCAATACTTGACAAGAAGTCATGTCTTTACTTACTAGAGGGCAATAATTTACTTTTCTGTGAAAACAGATATATTTAACTGATGGGTTCTAAACTGTGTTAATAGGTTTTTCTATTATTCTGGGGTAACTTGAACTTATCAATACTGGAATGTGTAGAAGACACAAATAGTCTAACATTTACTGTAAGAAGAAAATTTGACCAACCATTTCATATGTATTTGTATAATCTACATACTTTTGTACTGCTGTGTATAAAATATACACAGAAAAGGAATTTTTAGGTAAATGACATAAAATACTAATAAAAGATTAATGTGTTCTGTTTGTCCCATTTTTTAAATCTTAGTATAAGTCACTGTCAGCCCTATAACTTGCACTTAAGGATTTTTGTATTGGTTTCTGGACTTTCTCTTTCCATCAAGTCAGTATTTATCAGGTATATATTAAATTTACATTTGATTGGATAAATCACTTTTATATAACATCTTCTGACCTGATTTTGATACAAAGAACATGAGGCACTCCTGAGGGCCCAAACAGGACTTATTCTTTAATCACATTTGCTTGTTTTTGCTTTTTCTCTAGAGCATTTAACCTTTTGGAGGTCACAGATATCTTTGAGACTCTGATGAAAGGTACGGATCCTCTCCCCAGAAAAAGGCATGTGTACATACTTTGCATGCAATTTGAGGGGATTCATAAAACTACCGTGTAGCCCCGAGGAGTCCATGGACCTCTGGTTAAGAAATGATGCTTTAAATTCTGACTTGTAGACATGTAACGTATGGTTATAGTGTGATCTTGATGGAGTGATCCTGACTTTCGGTTTGACTTAGGGTTTTATTGCCTTTAAAAACTTTTTTTGGAGGGGAGGTACTGGCGAGATAGCTCAGCAGACTAAGTGCCTGCTTAGGCAAGCGCAGGAACTGGGTTTGATTTCCCAGTACCGCAGCACCACCCCCGCCCCCAAGGTGGGGTGAGCCAGCAGCCAAGTCAGGGCTTGGTGGCGCATGCCTGTAATTCCAGTGCTGGAGAGGTTGAAAGCAGGAGAATCACTAAAAGTCTGAGCTGCTTAGTGAGTCCGTGTACCAAATACATTTTTAAAAAAAGACACAACTTTTTTTTGGTGAGGGGAGGGCATACTGGGGACTGAACCCAGGATCTCACGCTTAAAAAAAAAACAAAAACCCCACATTTTTTAATTTACTTATTGACTTATTTGGTACAGGGTCTCACTATGCAGCTCAGACTTGTAGTGACCCTCCTGCCTCAGCCTCCCCAGTTCTGGGATTACAGCTGTGTGCCACCACGCCCAGGGTTCTGGGCCCACACACATATGGTACCGGGGATTGAATTGGGGTCCTTGGGCTTGCCAGGTAGGTGCTTAGACCACAAAGCACCTTTTGGCAAGTGCAAGGACCTAGGTTTGAATCTCTGTACTGCATGCCAGGCCAGCCCTGGAACCCTGGCACGCTTTGCCAACCCGAAACCAAGTGTGGTGGCACACACTGGTAATACTAGTGCTGGGGAAGCTGACACAGGACGATCACGAAGTCTGAGTTATGTAGCAAGACTCTACCAAATAAATAAATAAATGACGTTAAAAAATTTTAATTTTGAGGGCTGGCGAGATGGCTCAGTGGTCTAAGGCACCTACTTGGAACAAGCTTGGCAAAGCACAGGGACCACGGTTCCATCCCCCAGCACCACATGCCAGCCAGCCTCGTCCCCTGGTGGGCTGAGCTGGCCACACACACACACACAATAAATAAATAAATGTTTAAAAAAATTTTTTTTTAATTTTGAGAAAGAGTCGTAAGTTGCCTAGGCTAGTCTTGAACTTATAATTTTCCCTGAGGTTTAGGAGGTAGCTCAGTGGTAGAGCTCTTGCTTTGCATGCACAAGGCCCTGGGAAAGATCCGCTGTGCAACCAAAAAAGAAAAGGAAAAAAAAAGACCGAATTTGTAATCTTCTGGTCTTGGTCCCCCTAGTGGTTGGGATTACAAGCACGTGCCACCATGTCTTTAAAATCTTTTTTTTTTTGTATTGGGGATCGAACGTGCTTAGGTTGAGTTGTCTCCTTAGCCCCTATCTTTCCACTTTTATAAAGGGAATTTGGGACTTTAACATAGCACTTTAGAGGAAAGAAACAAGCTTTGAAATAGGAAGAGGGGAAAAAATACATATTTGGATTGTTACGTAAGTCCATACAACTAAATTTCTGAAGATTTTTGAGGGCCAGCAAGATAGCTTAGCGGACTAAATAGGCAAGCGCAGGGATTGGGGTTCCATCCCTGGCACCACATGCTGCTGCAACCCTGCCCCCGGACCACAGAGGAGTCTAGGTGTGATGGCACATGCCTGTAATCTCAGCGCTGGTGAGGCTAAAAGCAGGAGGATCACTGCAAGTCCAACCTGGTTTGAGACCCTGTACCAAATCATAAGAAAAAATATTTTGTAGAAATGCAGTCATTCTAGTACATTTGGGAAGAATAAACTGGTTGAAAATGTACTTGAACTGTAACAATATTAGAGTTCCAGTTAAACATGAGGAAAGGAATTACTGTAAGGAGAGAACCAGAAAGGTATAATATTGTCACAGTGCTGAGAACACTGAGACATTTATATCTACAAAATATGAAGTGCATATACATTAATGTTGAGAATTTGAAAAAAAGATTAACTGAGTGACTATAAAGGTAAATTGGTGTGATGTTGGAAAACGCCTTCAAAATTGTAGGAGTCTGTTTCTTGTCATGTAATCTATAAGAAGGGTCAGAGTCTTGAAAAATTTGAGAGGAGGATCCTGAAAGGATGAGTTAGTTTATGTTTCGTTGGCAGTGTGGAGGGGAACAGATTTCACCACTTAGAAATTCCCTGTTTAAACAGTCCCTTCCCCATACTGGGGCTGAACCCAGGGGTACTCTACCAGTGAGCTGTATTTGTATTCTCAGCCCTTTTGAATTTTGTTGTTGTTTGGTATTGAAAATCAAATTAGTTTTGTTTTTGTTGTTGCTTTTTGGTACTGGGGATTGAACCCTTCACAATGAGCTATACATCCCTAGCCCTTTTAAAAGTTTTTTTTTTTTTTTAATTGTATTGGTACATTTTATTTTTTTTGGCGGAACTGGGGATTGAACTCAGGTCCTTGTGCTTGCCAGGGAAGCACTTATTCCACTGAGCCATCTCCCCAGCCCCTTAAGGGATTATAGGTGTGCATAACCATGCCTGACTTCTTAGTTTTTATTCTGAGACATAGTCTTTCTAAATTTCTTAGATTGGGCTAGGTGTTACATGACTGTAATCCCAGCACTTATGAGGCTGAGACAGAAGGATCACTGTGAGTTCAAGATCTGCGTGAACTATATAGTGAGACGCTGTCTCAGAAAAATCAAATAAATAAATAAATAGCCAGCAAGCCCAGGCTTCCCTCAAGTTTGGCAATCCTCCTGTCTCAGCCATCTAAGTAGCTGAGATTATACATTAGCAAGCAGCATTACTCCCAGTCAAAGCTCTTAATTGTATTCCTTTCCAGTCTTTGCAGGTTAATTTCTCACTGCATCAATGGCCTTATTTTACTAAATTTCTTCAAAATAATTTAATTGCCAGGGAGATGGCTCAGCGGCATAAGTGCCTAGCAAGCACAAGGTTCTGAGTTCTATCCCTGGTACAAAAAATAAAGAAAAGAAATATGTCACTGAGTCAGGCATTTGTTGAAGCCAT